CTAGACAATGTTTGACTTGATTTATTCAAATTTATGCTAAATTGTAGTTAATGCATCTTTAAAGTTCCGCATGACTTGCTGTCTAAGTTTGAGTGTCCTGAGTTTTCAGGGTCCTTTTGATGCAATGATGACACAGGATGACAATAGCCAAAACAGTCTAATCAGTGAGGTGCTGCCCAGTATGTATGACTCCATATTTACAGCTCTGGTTTGATTTTTCTTTTTGTCTTTTAATTTCACTTGGTTCAGTCTAGATGAACACAACTACAGGTGTGGAAACTGTCTAAGAACTTACTGAGTGACCAAACTCTAAAAAGCGCTGTCAGCACACCAAGGATGTTTAATATAGAAATGACAGTGGTTTAGCTCACAGTTAGAATTTCTGTTAATAGTTTTAATTGTCACAAATAACACTACTGACTACCAGCTTTACTTTATGTAAAAGCTTCAACATTAACAAGTTGTAGTTAACTGTTTGTGTTTATTTCCAAGTACACAAGTACTATTGTACTAGTGTCTTAAAACTGGTATTGGCATACTTGTTTGGAGTGGAAAATGACCTTAACCAATTCCAGTAGTGGTGTATAAAACCACAAATTACAAAGCCCTGCATTTTTAGTCTTCCATTGTTCCTCTAGTGAGAAAACCGAAAGCTGTGACAACCAGGCTGAGACAAAAACTGCCTTTTACTGTATTTGACTTCTCATGACTTCTCTTTCTCCCTTTCCCTCTCTCTCAGTGGAATTCCTGGGAAAAAGTGTGGAACCATCATCTTCACAGCCGAGGAGCTCAGTAACTGCCGGGTTGGTATAACATCATAATCAGGCTTACACACACATACTCACACGCACACAGAGACATTCTGTGATATAAACACTCTGTGACAGAGGTCAGAAAGCTAAACACTACAGTCTGAATTTATGACAGTCGTGTCTAACTCTAACCTTGTGTTTTCATTTTTAACTGTGTGGGGGGAATTTAAATGCACAGTCTTCAGAATAATTTTATCATCTGCATCAAACTGCGGTGTGAGTTTGCTCATTATCTTCTAAGTGATGATGAGAACCAGCATGAAATATTTATCCAGTTACATAGATCAGAAAGGTGTGATGAAGAAAGGGGTACCTAAGAAATATAACTCACTGTCCTGAGAAGTCAGCTGAACAAAGTCCGGGGAGATAGAGGCTACTGACATCAAGACAAGGAAGCTTCTTACAATGCACAGCTGGTTTCACCCCAAGTCCAGCATCCTGAGACTGTACACTAAGCGGAAGGAAGGAGGCCGAGGATTAGTGAGCATCAGAGCCACTATCCAGGTTGAAACAACAAAGATCCATGAATACATCAGAAAGATGGCCCCGAGTGCTGACGTGCTTAGTGAATACCTCAGGCAGCATAAACCAGAAGAACAAGGGAAGGAAGAGCAGGAAACCTCATGGAAGGACAAACCTCTACACAGTATGTACCACCGTCAAATAGAAGAAGTAGCTGATATCGAAAAATCCTACCAGTGGCTGGACAAAGCTGGACTGAAAAACAGGACAGAGGCACTAATCCTGGCAGCATAGCAACAGGCTCTAAGTACAAGATCAGTAGAGGCCAGGGTCTACCATACCAAATCAAATTTATTTATATAGCACTTTAAAACAGCATCCAGCTAACCAAAGTACTTGACATGGCAAAATAAAATCACAATAAATAACTAAAATAAAGTAAATAAAATCAGTGCAAATAAAAATAAAACAGCACAATAACAAACATACATAATATACGTTCAATAAATTAAAATAAAGTTAAAAGGAGTTAAAAGGAATGCATCAAGCCCTACTGTGTATTAAACCATTTTCTTACCATACAGAGAGCTGATTTGGCCCAGCCAGCCCACGGCTTTGCATCCTGTTGATCTGGGGGAGAATCACATTCACAATTTTAATAATCTCCACAAATTCATTTGTTGTACTTGCATAGTTGGGATCAGTCTCAACCACATCACATCGACACATCTATTCTCCAACAATTTTTGGCAATTTTGGTGACCACCATTGTTGCCACATATTGAGCGCAGCCAGTTGCAATGTCGAAGAGAGACTGAATACATATATTTTGTTCTCACACCAATTCTGTACATCATTCCTAAATTGTGATGAGAAAAGTATTGCACTTAAATATTCACTCAGTAGTCTGCTAATATATCAATGGCCAGCTTTTTTGCAGGGAAGACAGAAAGACTGGCCCTGTAACCAGCAGTAATCATTGATTCATAGCTGCAGCCACTGTGTGAAATATGCTCAGTCTTGAGTGGTTGTTTGCACGTACCTTTACAAATTTTTAATTGTTTTTAAAATAATACATTAAAAATATATTGTATAAATTGTCATAAAACCCAAAAGCAAACACAACGCATATCCCCATGGTAGTAGAGAAGGTATGTCTGTGAAACTTGATTGTTTGAGAATACTGTAACTGAATAGTGGGCGACAACAGTGCACAGTGAGGTCAGACTGACGTTACCTACTGTCAGTAATGCCTGTAATATGAGTGACTGGGACATCTGCAGAGTATTTGTTATTTATCATGGCTCTTGAGTTTCTTTCATGTGTGTGTGTTTTTATACACCTATGTGTAGTTATTGCAGTTGGATTTGGTGTCAGATCTGTGATTTTCAATGACCAGCTGAAGATGTTGTTAGAAAAAATGCTGGGCACTTGCGTTTGTGATAAGAGGTAGTCTGAGCATGTCAGGTTTGCTCGGTGCTACCTGGCTCTTCTTCCCTTTCCGTCTTTCCCTCCTCTGAGCTACGTTGCTTCTACTCACCTCCTCTGAGCTCTCCGGCTACACTCCATCACCCCTGCAAACCAGTCTGCACGTGCTCCCAGCACTCAGCTCCACGACGGCGCATCTCATCTCTGCCCGAGTGTTTTTGTTCCAGCCGTGCCTCCTTCTATCCCAGCCTACCTGTTTCTGCAGAGTGCGGTCTGATATGCCTGGCTTCTCTGCTATCTCCTCTGGCCCAAGCACTCCTGCCATCACTCCCATTACCAGCATCACCCCTATCCTTGACCTCTGATTACCTGCACTATTATTATAATAAAGATTCTTTATCGGAACTGTTGTCTGCCATCTGAGTCCAACCCGCTAGCTCACCTTGCTCCTGCGAGTGAGCAACCTTAATAGAGCAGATGTTGTTGCAGTCACTATGATCACCATAATGATAATAATCACCTTTATTAGCCAGTATGTTACACAAGGAATATGTCTCAGGCAGCCATCTGGGGTGCCATCTCACACACACATTGATGGCAGTGCTGTCCCTGCAAAGTGCTGCTCTGGCCATCAGGAGCAACTTGGGGTTCATTGTTTTGCCCATGGACACTTGGGCATGTGGACTGGGAAGAACGAGAATTGAACCACCGACCTTCCGACTGGGGGACGACTAGCCACAGCTACCCCAATTTTATTTAATTCCTGAATTTCTGAGAAGAAAAATACAATCATTTTTACACCTATCAGTCTTCAAAGAGCAACAAAACTTCATTGTGCTGCCTAATCAGCATAAACAGGGCTTCAGCTGTGCCTTTTCTCCTATTTCAGCATAAAGTGCATGCATTTATGGCAGGAAAATATCAAACACACCAATGTGCAAAAAACAAACTTGAGCCAAGTTACATTGTATAAAACCTGTGTTTGAAGCTATGGTGGAAAATAGAGCAATTTGTCTGTGTTTACAATCGACTACAATAAAAGTAAACTCCCATTTCCGGGTTGCAAGCGAGAGCGGACGTTTTCTCTGCTTCTCTTGTCTGTTCTGGGATTTTCATATCTGTCTCATATCTTCTACACTTTCAAGTTTTGGAAAAGTCTACATCTTTGAAATGGCTCCTAAAGGGAAGAGAGCAAATAAATCCGAAGCTGCTGAGGATGTCGAAGCTGAAGACAACTTTACAGCGGACTTGCTGGAGCAGCAACGAATGTACACAGCGCTGCTTAATCAGCTGAGTGAAAGTTTCAAAGGATTCGTGCAAATAATTATGGAGACTAGCAACAAGAGATTCGACGAAATGACCAGAGAGATACAGGAAATAAAATCGAGTCTGCAGTTTACCCAGCGAGAGGTGGATGAGATTAAAGTCACCATGGGTGAGCAGTCAACCCAAATTAAAGGTACTAGGGACGGACTTTATGAAACCTGTGATTACCTCAAAGTCATTTCGGATAAAGTGGAATACTTGGAAGCACAAACCAAGCG